CCCCCCACCGATACATCGCCAGCATCATCGTCGGCATCATCGTCGGCATCGTCATCGTCATCGTTATCGTCGTCAACAGCATCGTCATGTTTATATTATATTTGTGTAAGGCTAAGATATCACGTGATTGTGCGAACGTTGTTATCGGATAGTCCATATGATATATGTCCATATACAGAGAGACTAGACATACTTACATATGATATAATTGTGTCCATATACAGAGACAACCCCTACTTACGAACAATTGTGTTGCGAACTTTTGATGATACGAACAATCAGTTGGCGTGTAGAGGATTTGTACCGGGTGGGGTCTAAACGCAACCCAAACTTGCGAGCACGCGAAGTGCGGGTCTGGGGGGCCCTCCCCCAGAAAACTTTTGAAATTAGACCACCTTAGATGCGTTTTCTGCGCAAGCAGGGGGGGTCCGGACCCCCTGGACCCCCCTCCCCCCCCTGTACACGTTCCTGACAATTTGCCCTGAAGTCGAAAATTTAGGCGTAAGGTTTAGTTCTCAGCAGATCCGCCGCGTGGTGGCGGCAATGTAGCGCAGCGAAGCACCGAGATATAAACAATAGTATATATGAACTGTTTACACTAGTATGTACTCTGCTAGTTGTTACTCGATGTTCACACGTACATATACTACACTACTGTACAATACTGCATACGTACATATGTTGGACTTACGAACAAATGGACTGACGAACGACCGCTCGGAACCAAACCTGTTCGTAAGTAGGGGAAATATATTCTCTGTATATTCTCTGTATATATATATGTTCATATACTATGATCTAGGCCTATATTATCATAAGTCTTCTATTAATATTACATGGCGTTTGCATCGTACAACACATCTAACGAGAAATATTACGGAGACATGTGTCGTCACGTGGGTTTTGGGGGAAATATCAAAAATGGTTACGTGTCGTTTACTGTTTTGTTATTATTTATATTTTATTGTTTACAATAAATTTTTATGTCATGTTGGTTATGAATAGTTTTTCTCTTCGCTTCTCTGTGTAATATCTTACATCTCTATACACCTCTATATCCATACACCTCTATCCATACACCGCCCCATCTCTCCCTCCACCCTCCCCTCTCTCTGTGTAATATCTTACATCTCTATACACCTATACCATACACCTATACCATTAAAGCGGAGAGAGAGAGCGAGAGAGAGAGAGAGAGAGAGAGAGAGAGAGTGCGAGAGGTTTGTTGTTATATAATGTTAACATATTTGTTACACGTTGTCTTACACGTTGTCTTACACGTTGTTACATGTTACATCGTGTCGTTACATGCTACATCGTGTTGTTACATGTTACATCGAGTTGTTACATGTTACATCGTGTTGTTACATCGTGTTGTTACATGTTACATCGTGTTGTTACATGTTACATCGTGTTGTTACATGTTACATCGTGTTGTTACATGTTACATCGTGTCGTTACATGTTACAACGTGTCGTTACATGTTACAACGTGTCGTTACATGTTACATCGTGTCGTTACATGTTACATCGTGTTGTTACACGTCGTTACATGTCGTTACAGTTGGTTCTATGAGGCGCGCTATAACATGGAGGCGATGCAGGAGTTCCTGGAAGAGATAGGCCAGCTAGATGACGTGTACATAGTGAGTGTGGAGAATGCGCTAGCGTGGATACGTAACCCCGTGCGGGTGCAGGACGCTAGAAATGCTGAGGCATTCAGGTAAGCTCCTCACCTTTAACCTTTAACCTCTGACCCCTGACAGCTAGATGACGTGTACATAGTCTTGAATCCTGAATCGTATTCAACTTACTACGCATTAGGTTATTACTGCTTTATTACTGCTTTATTACTCCGTTATTACTGCTTTGTTTTTGTTTACATCCACATGTTTACGTTATTGTATCTTTTTTGTAGCTTACACGTAAATCTCACGTGTACGCCCAGATTATATTAATATTTGTGAATCATAAAAACAGTGGCAGCGTCGGTAACGCACGGTAACCATGGCAACGTACTCTCTTCCCGCTTGCAGTCACATATAGAACGCGTTCGCAGAATAACATCCGGGAATCGCGCGGCGAAGACGCGCGCCGGTAACCATGGTAACGCATCCTCGTGTTTCTCCCGCAGCTGCCCTGATCGTGGGCGCGAGCGTCTGTGCGATAAGTTCAACGTGTGCCGCTACCACAACATCAGTTTCTACCCGAACTCGCCCGACCATCAGGGCGACCGCGTGTTCCAGACGTGCGGAGCGTGCCCGCCGCTCTACCCGTGGCTGGGAAACCCGACCGGTTCATCGGACGGTCCGGCAGGACCCGACGCCCCGCTACCGCCAGGGGGAGTGGGGGAGGAGGGGCCGGTGGCGCCCGGGGGGAGGGCGAAACCTGGACTGACCCTGTAGCGGGGGAAGGAGAGTGTGGGTGGCTTCCTTCTCCTGTTTGAGGAGGGTGTAGAGATGCGGTGCGAGGGGAGAGAGAGTGAGTGTGTGTGTGTGTGTGAGAGAGAGAGAGAGAGAGAG